GGATGCTGCAATTTTGGTACATTTCGTATAATAAGGTAAAAATTGCGTGCTCGTAAAATGATTCTTGACAGATTTTAGTAACGCAAATGCTTTAGTAATTCGATTAGATTAATAGGTTTATAATTGGAATGTGAATAGCATCATTTATAGTAGACAACCTTGTCACATTGGTGGCATGATTGACTACAATGACAGTGTTGTTACTGTGAACATTTTCCACCGATTCAGGAAATTATTTTCTAACACATCAAAGTGGGAATATCTTAAGATACTGCCATAAAGCGTTCTTGATCTTAAGATACTGTCATAAAGTGTTCTTAAAACTCGTTTGTAATCTTAGTCATCTGTGCGTTTTCTATTAAAAGATGTGTTTCAATATGCTGTTTCATGAATGAATATGACCTGTGTATTTAATCAGAAATAGTTTTAATTAATGCAGTTAATTCAATGACAGAAGGAATTTCTTGCATAACATTGGTCATTAAATGTGATTTATTATAAATAAGATCGACACATAACGTTATCTAATGTATCAGGTAGCAGGTATCGATAATTTAAAATAAAGGCTATGCCGTGTGGCCTGCCACATTTAATGCTGCAAAGATACCACAATGATATTTTGAAAGTTCGAACCAATAGCCATGGTGATATTTTTTTTAAGTAAACAACATACGTCATACTACTACTACTTCTACTACTACTACTACTACTCATCATCATCATCATCATCATCATCATCATCATCATCATCATCATCATCATCATCATCATCATCATCATCATCATCATCATCATCATCGTCGTCGTCGTCGTCGTCGTCATCATCATCATCACAAACGAATCTTACACAGGACATACATGCCATATTAATTGAGTCAGACACTGTCGGGATTACCTTGACGATTCAAATGAGTTTGATGTCTGGCACCATGAACGGTAGATATGAAGACAAGTGTGGAACCGACTGATCTGATATAAATTTGTCTCGCAGCACTCGTCAATCTTCTATGTCACAATTGTCGGTTGAACCAGGACAGGCGCACGATAGATCGTCTGGAGTAACCATAAAAATACAACTGTATATTACAGATAATCATATTATTATTATTATTATTATTATTATTATTATTATTATTATTATTATTATTATTATTATTATTATTATTATTATTATTATTATTATTATTAATAACAGTAGCAGTAGTAGCAGTAGTAGTAGTAGCAGTAGTAGCAGCAGTAGTAGTAGTAGTAGTAGTAGTAGTAGTAGTAGTAGTAGTAGTAGTATAACAATGACAATGACAATCGTACATGGATGTTAATATCCATGCCTGTTAACTTTGAAAACCCAGTTTGCATGACAGATTACTGCAATAGCCTTGCTGATGTTGTCTGAGAATTGTTTACAGGCGCAACAAACGTGCTTCTTACCTTGTACCGATCTATAAAAATATTGTAATGCCAGTCGTTCATAACATAAAAGATAATGCTCTGGATCAGTTAATAAAGCATGGGTTTGCGGGTGGTGCAATTGATTTGAGGTCGACAACAAATATTAGTAGATGTCATACTTTAATAGTATAATCTAGAATAATGTACTTTTACGAAGTTAAGTTAGGCCCTAACCCAAATAGGTATGCAAAACTAAGCAACGCAATACGGTACGATTATGTATATATTGGTCACATTGAGACTTTCTCCGATAAAGTGAGCTGGAATTGTTTCTTGTGGCTGACCCAAACAATTAATTAGATCGTTGCGGCCAAAGGAAGGACACTTTGACGATGTTTAAGTTGCCAAAAACACGGGTAAAACAAATGCAAAATCCTAGTGGCATCTTTCCATTCCTTGCAGGCATTACATCGGTGTTACCTGCAGCAGCTCCAATGTTTGCAAAAGCAGTTATATTAGCAACTGTTGGAACATTATTCGTGATAAAGGCTGTTGTTGGGAAAATCCAAATCGTGTCTCCTAAAAAATAGGAAAGGAAACGGTCTTTAATTACTCGGAATAACTCCACACGGTCCTCGTTCGTTGGTAAGTTTATTCAGTATGGATAAGTCAGGAAGGCATTTCCAAAGTGCCTGTTTGCAAGATCAACGTGCGTCAAAGAACCCACGCACAAAAGAGACTGGCATCGTTAACCTGGATTCATCAACATGACATAGTATTCATTGGATTGAATATGCTGGTAACACCAATACATCTATTGCTTTTTGACTCGTACGGGCTTGCATCGCCACGTGAAGTTATTGGTTATTTAACACAATGGCTTCTACTGCTGTCTTAATAGATGTGCTTGAGTTACAAACATTTAAATTCAAAGAACTATTTGTCGGTGTATATTGATTAGTATGCTAGCTTGTGCATTAACCTGGCTAATGAATAACTTCATTTGTTGACGCTCATGGGGTGATACTCTCCATGGGATCATTGCACTTGCTTACATTTTACACTCGCATGTGATTTAAGGGCAAGTCAAGGGATATACAGTGCGTTGACCTATATCAGTGAGCTCGATTCAAACGCCCCAACAAATTACTAATATTTCCAATATTTTGTAACCATGAAAGAGCTCTATATAAGCAGTGCTTCTTATTGCTCAACCACTTGTGTTCTGTCTTTTAGTTAGTGGTTGTTGATATTCAATAAGTGTCGTTCATATCTTCCCATACAAATGCATTAACCTATAAATACGAGATTTGATCGTATTACTGCACGACCTTGAGAGTTCAGTATATCCTTCCGACAAAACGAGTTCATATTGTCCCATGCAAATACAGTAAGCTTTTTATTGTATGCTCATTTCTTATTCTTGCCAACGCTTAAATATATATAAAAAAATACACTGCAAGAAACAAAGTAACTAAATGTATGCCGTATTATAAACTAAAGACATTGTATCAAACAAGGGGCCCCGAGTGGCCGAGTGGTCTAAAGAGCTGTCTGTTACGAATCACTGCCATCTCACCTCTGTATTCTTGAGTTCGAGTCTGGGATTCGGCGAATGTGGATATGTGAGAAAGCTTGCCAGTAGCTTTTCATGGGTCGGTGGTTCTTTTCGGGGATTTCCTGGTTTCTTCCTCCACCATTAATACTGGACGCCATGTATCTTGTGCTGAAAAATGTCGTTAAGCCCCACAACAACAACAACAACATCAACAAGTATTAAAAAAGTACACGCGGAACGTGCCAAAGCAGTTTGTATGTGTCAGTCTATGAAACATTTGCTGGTATGTGGCCGTCCATGAAATATCTGCTTTAGTTCATTCATAAAATATTGTTTCCGTTAAAAAATAGTTTGCGTGCGGGATGCAGTATAAAGGTTTTCAATATCGTGGAATAATGCACGATGCTGACAACGCAAAGTTAAAGGAGAAAAAAGATGAGCATAATAATAATACAAAATACAGCATGATACAAAATGTAAACCATGTTCAGTAAAGGTTTCTAATTCATCCGACCATTTGATATCCATGTATTGAGAAATATCATATTTAATAAAATACTTTCAATCTCCGTGGCAACATAAATCTGACACATTTTACTCCCACTTACGCCTAAAACTCTCATATATACAATTCTCTTTCAGTTTTATTTGGTAAATAAAGCTAAATTGTTAGAATTGGTATTCCTTAATCCTCTCATTTTCAAAAAATATTGTCATAGCCGTAATGGATTTTGTTTGTTCGCTGCAGCACAATTTTAGAGCCAAAGCTGTAAAGATTATCAAACTCATCTTACTATCTACACAAAGCACGCACCTTCCACCATGCCGCTGGAAGCGTAAACATGCGTGGACCTTTCTACTATAACTGTACAAACGTTTGTAATCCGTTAGAATTGGAAAATATTCGTGTATGCAGAAGAGGTAGGTAACGTGAGTCTATTCAATATACTTTACATAATCAATTCGCTTGCTATGTGCAATTGCTTATTTTCGCATTCCTGAAAGTCTGGAAATAACAACAGAAATAACATTCAGCATCAAATATATGAATCTATCAGGTTTCGGCACAATACAATTATAGATCAAAGTTTTCTTAAGCGTAGGAATTAAATCTGTCTCTTGTTTGTGACAAGGGTTTATATAGAACAATAACTCACGGGGATTGATTGCTAAAATAAATATAAGCAAACAACATGACTTGTGACCCTGACGGTGTTTATTCAGACTGATCATACCGCAGTATGCAATAGACACAATTTTACGTACTATCCAAGATGTCGTTTTCTTTTTATTAAGACCACGCAAATGCAAGGACTCGCTATAGCTTAATTAAGCTACACTAATGATGACTTTAAAAACGCGTAAACAGAAGGATGTGTCCTGGTCTTTCAGGTGTGCCTCATCAGTGTAATCCCAAGGCAAGGAAGTAAAAAATTATACTTAGTGTGGTGCATATCTAGAGCTTTAAGTAAATTTCTTCTCCGTGTATGTATGTATGTATGTATATATATATATATATATATATATATATATATATATATATATATATATATATATATATATATATATATATCTATATATATATCTATATATATATATATATATATATATATATATATATATATATATATATATATATATATATATATATATATTAGCAGTAATGAGTCATGATTTTACAAATAGTGCATATACCGACGGTCCATGAAACTTTTATTAGATATCCGAAGAGTAATTGTGTATCCGTCTGAAGTTGTTATGAGTATGTATGTATTCATGTATACATAAATGTATGTACGAAGGAATATATACGTGTGATCTGATGTGATGTGATTATGATTTTTAACGTAGCTTTAACAATTGTACAGTCACTTCGCTACGATGGTTGCTGCGTGGCAGTTTATAGTGATGTCTAGAACTGGAGAATCATTCCGCAGACATGTAGCATGATGTCCATCCCAGTCACATTATCCTGACATCAGGTTGATCAGTCCTAACACTGACCTCTTAATGCTGAGCGCCAAGCGAGGAAGCTGTTAGTACCATTTTTGCAAGTCTTTGATATGACTTGACCCCACGATCTCCCGCATCTGAGGCGGACTCCCTAACCACTAGGCCACCATATGTGTGTGTGTGTGTGTGTGTGTGTGTGAGTGTGTGTGTGTGGTTATATATTTATGTTTATATGAATACTATCTGATGTATTCACTATCCATATTTGTATACTATTTGGATATAATTACAGTATTCACACAAGCTTCTCACCCAGTCTTGCTCCACTGAGCCATGGCCCCATACTTCTCTGGGCGGTCCATCGCCATTTGCAGTCTATGTTGTGATTATGACCTCTGCAATCTAAACTATGCATGTTGCAGCTCCCCTAATAGGTACGAATACTTGGGACGGCTTGTCTAAATAATGCTTTCTAACAGCCCTTAAGCAGCCTGTTATGTTTCCATCTTCAAAACAATTATACTAACGTTTGTTCCATAAGTAACCTTTTGATTTTCATTAAAAGAATGTGTCCTTTTTATACAGTGGATTTATTTTGAAAAATAGACCACCTTTTTTACCACAGAAAATCTAGAATGCATTTGATTACAAATATTTAATCCAATTACTAAATTAGCAAAATGTTAATTTATTTTGTTAAAAAATATATTGGAAATATGAACATAAAATTCAGTTTGCGAGGGCAAAGGTATTGATGTATCGTAATCGCTTCCAGCTAATTAAATGTACATATAAACATTATACGATACCTACGTTTTTGAATGTTATTTAACGTGCAAAGTCCAAAAAGTCCAGATTGGATGGTGTATAGCAATATTGGATGGAAGGGAGGTAAGTTTTGTGACCTCACGTTATTTGATATTTGATAGTTGCTTCCCTTGCAAACGCAACCTTAAACAATCTATTGAAGGAAACTTTGGTGTAGGCCAAGTAACAGAAAATAACGATAAAGAAAATTACAAATGATTTTCAAGTATTTAAATGGTGGCTATGAGAAATTCTGGCATCTGAAAACAGAGTTATTACACCCAATGCCAGAAAAATGATCCAAATATATGTCAACTGAAGAAAACAAACATTTCACCCAATCCCATGAAAATTATCCAAATAGAGAAAAAATAAATTTAGTTTTTAAGGTTGTGGAATATTGTCAATCTTTGGAGTTTTTCTGATGAATTGATATTTAAGGAAATAATACTGCATGCGTATGGCCGTCATAAGATTCCAAGATACTGTTGTATCTCAAAAACGTCAAAGAGATTTTATGCAATTTTAAAGATTAAGAGCTGTAATTGCTGATGCGATAGGAAGAAAATGAGATATTTGCAAATTTGATTTATATGCATATAGAAAAAAGAAATTCACTTAATACTTAATACTAAACTTTAATTTAATTTTTTTTATAAGAATGCTTTCTTTCACTGTTTCTTTGTGTTTACGAAAATTATCGGCGACAAAATCAAACCCTGACTCAGCTTTTGTACTGTAAGTAATGAAATAAGGAAAATTAACGAAATTCTTTAGTCATCACCACAGTGAAAAGGTGAGAAAAGCCGTAAGAACCAGATTTGCTCACATCAGTCTAGAACAGCTTTGAAAGACACTTTGCCAGACAAAACTACGACAAAAAGGACTATGCTCGCAAACAACGAACTAATAGCTAGCCGAAGGGCCTTGTTTCATATTAAGATGATGAAACGAAACTCGCTGGAAATTCATCACAAGCTTTGTGGTATCTGTAAGAACTATAGAACGACAGAAACCATCACAATGACAGCTTTCTGGCTGAATCAAGGTATATTCTCAGCACTTCCTGTATACGATAATGTTTTACAGGCAGACAAAAGATGTTGCCACAGTACGCTATATTAGGTTTTTTCGCTGCAAATGAATTTAAAAGAATGCTAGCTGTCTCGCACGCCTTTGCCATCGTCGGGTATGTCTTGCAAATGCGCAGTGGACAGTCGTAAACTACCATCGACACTGTCAACAAAGTCGTTCTGACATTCCTGCTAACGTTTGGTTAATTCCACAGCTACTAGCAAGCAAAGCTATCACAATCAGAATCACCAAAAGGCACAAAGGCATCAACTAACAGTATTTCATTTTTCGTTCTAAAATGTTTTCTAATGATCTTTTTACCATTAAATTTATTCTTTGAAAAACATCAAATTAAATTTAGCAAACCACATGCATGTACAACATTCATCAAATAACATGTTGAATTAATTTTATATGGTATTGCATTTAATCTGCAAGTCATGGGAATAGTGAATAATGATGCGTACTATCAACAGCTATATATATTGATTACTCGACAAAGATTTATAGCTGCAACAAAACAAAAACCTTATTTGCTCATCAACAGCTGAAAATAGGCACATGATAAGACCGCGACATTAGACCTCGGGCAAAGGCGTGAATATAAACTAACTATTCGACTAATTTGTCACACAAAATAATTTGATCGTTGAAAAAAATAAGTTTAATGAAACGTATCTTTAAATCCTCGTTATATATATGGTAAAGGTACGCTTACCGGAAAAAAGAGTTTGTGAATAATATAAATGGATCAAAGAAATGGCCTGTATGAGGAAGTTACCAGTAAAAACATTTAGCTTGAAAACGAATGCTCCAGGCTGACAGTAATTTCCATATTTTATATTATGGTTGGCAACAATTTCCATGATTTATATTATGGCTCTCAGAAATTTCCATATTTTATATCATGGCTGACAGCAATTCCATATTTTATAGTATTTCCGTCAGCAATGTTTTTATTTTAAATAATATCTGTCAGCAATTTCCATATTTTATATCATGACGGTCAGCATAGCTATATTTTATATCATGGCTGTCAGCAATTTCTATATTTTATATTATGGCTGTTAGCAATTTCTATATTTTATATTATGGCTGTTAGCAATTTCTATATTTTATATTATGGCTGTTAGCAATTTCTATATTTTATATTATGGCTGTTAGCAATTTCCGTATTTTATATCATGACTGTCAGTATAGCTATATTTTATATCATGGCTGACAGCAATTCCATATTTTATATTATGGCCGTCAGCATTTTCTTTATTTTAAATAAAAGCTGTCAGCAATTTCTATATTTTATATTATGACTGTTAGCAATTTCCATATTTAATATCATGACTGTCAGCAGTTCCGTATTTTATATCATGGCTGACAGCAATTCCATATTTTATAGTATGGCCGTCAGCAATTTTTTATTTTAAATAATAGATGTCAGCAATTTCTATATTTTATATCATGGCTGTCAGCAATTCTATATTTTATACAATGACTGTCATCAATTCCATGTTTAATAATGTGGCTGTCAGCAATTTTCAGTGTTTTATATCATGACCGCCCATCAGAAACAGTCTTGAGCATCTATAATGGAATTTTGACTGACACAAGCTGGGAGGGGGATATTCGGCATAACAATCACTTTACTATGACTTCATATGTATGTATGTATGTATGTATGTATGTATGTATGTATGTATGTATGTATGTATGTATGTATGTATGTATGTATGTATGTATGTATGTATGTGTGTATATATGTGTGTATGTGTGTGTGTATGTGTGTATGTGTGTATGTGTGTATGTATGTATGTATGTATGTATGTATGTATGTATGTATGTATGTATGTATGTATGTATGTATGTATGTATGTGTGCGTGTGTGTTCTTTCTTCCTCTGTGGCAAGGATTCGATTGCGTTTATCGATGACACGGATTCGTATGCGTCTTTCTGTGACCAATAGTGTCAACTTGTTCCTCAAAATATCGAAATGAGGCTAAAAATAGCAAAATATTAACAAATAAATACGTCGCCCCATCCATACCCAACACCATCCATTCCACCTACCCACCACCATAATCAAATGTGTCCTTTTAATCATTAAGATACCCGTCCATTAGATGCTTTCAATTTGATAGTGACTTTTGAAATATGTATAAAACAGTTTTATTTACTACCTCAAAATTTATAAGTAGAAAGGTTCTGAGACACCAGTCAGGCTACCCAAATATTTTTCGAACGTGCCTAATTTTTGTTTTCCTGCTGAGAGTCATTGAGAGCAGTTATAAAAATGGAGGTTTGTAAGTTTGGGGCTGGGCTTTCTTTTGTGGTGAGGGTGGGGGCTGAACAATCATCGGAAGGCTCTTCAACCGTTTTCTTTGCTTCCAGACATATACTGTGTCCACTACTCCTGGTAATACCCGTGGTATCGGAGATTTGTAACTCGTCTGTTTGACGATTGAGCAATTTCCATAGAAATATGCGTGCATCAACTTTTGTTTCCAAATTGCTTGTCTCTTGAAACCACATGGTGTGGATTTCATTACTTTTTAAAATCATAAGTTATCTACAATGCTACTTTGGAGACTTCAATCGGTACAAATAATAATTTACGCCACCCAAGATAATAAATTTATAACATCAAACTATTATCATCGTTACTGAATGTCTCTTCTGTATCGTGCGAGTTCACGGCGATCTTTGGTCTCTTTCTCTTGAAATCTGCACAGTCACACAATATAAATCTTCAAAGTGGTTAACATTTTTATATCGGTGCTATATATTTTGAACTTTATATTAAATGAACCATATATAACCTAACACGAACCACTTAGACGTCAAGGAAATAGCAGAATTAAGAAGATATAGTTACTTTAACACTATTCGATTCATATTTGACCAATCTTAAGAATGGTTTACATACCTTCATATGTTATTTTGTGTAGATTTTCCAGAATGGTAAAATTTATACACGTATTGTTTATTTATTGCACGTGATGTTTACATTTATTTGGAAGAATGTATCTTAGTAAATTTCTGCAATTCATATTTAGATTACTTTTAATTGGCAGCGAACTTTGTACTGAGGTGCCGTAAACACTAATTGATTACTCAATGCCAAGTCACCCATAGTTCTCCGGGTGACCATCAATTTCCATACATTTTTCAGCTATAAATCTATGCAAATGATCGCTACGTGCAAAAGGTAACTTATTCCAATTGCTCATGAAGTTATGGCTGATTGAAGTGGAAAAGGTAGCATAGTATTTTGCATTCCCAAATTTACGAC